AGTTTGGGCTGTTTGACTTATTATTTGTGAGTTCCGCCGAGATTGCACTGCCCCAAATGAAGTTTCGTGCCGCCAAAGCAAGAATTACGGTCTGCAATCTGTTTGTAGTACAGTCGTCCCTCTCTAATCCGGCACTTTATAATCCAGCACCCTCGATAAACCAGCACAATTTTCAGTAGCCAAAATGTCCTCTTCATGCACATTGCAGCAGTAAATCAGATTTGTTAATCCAGCACCCTCCCTAATCCAGCAGATTTTCGTGGCACAAATGGTGCCGGATTATAGAGGGACCACTGTACTTGCAAGAATGTGCTGTACATGCATCGTACTTTCTCTGGTGTTGTTTCAGTCGTCATGTTGCTAAAGAAACGTTCAGTAGAGAGGTTCTGCAAAACGAAAATTCGAACGAAGTTTCGCGACAGTCCTTGCGAAAGTGTGTACGAATTTTTGCACGAACTTTGCTTTCTGCACGTTTTCGTAATTTTCGCGGGCCAAGTGCACGTACGCCATGGCCCGATCTCACGAAAGTGTGTACGACTGTTCATTTCGCGTTCCCTGCAAGTTTCGCGTCCAGAGTTGCGAAAGTTCGTGCGAAGTTTCGCACTTCATGACATGTAACGAAAGTTTGTACGCATCTTCGTTTTGCAGAACCTCTTTAGGGCGCGCTCACACTGCGATCATGAGCACGCGTCCATGCGTCAGCAAAACGCAGAAACGTGGCAGTCGTGCTCACACTAGGCCTCGTACACGCGTAGACGTGAACTTGTCACACAAACTTTACGAATTGCAGTTCGTATCCAAAAGAGTTCGTGCGTTTCCTAATAAAGTTGTGGCCCGTTTTGGATGTAATTTTTCGCATGTTGCATGTTGGAGGAAGTGCCTCGTGGCTCGTATTCTTGAAGTCGACGAAAATAATTCATACAATCAGGTAGGTTTGGACTCTTGAGGGACTGCCGCTGATATCCAAGCGCTTTCGCTTTCCTGACCTCGTGGTCAGAGCAAGTGCCAGTGCAGTGGAAATTCCGGTAGTGGTTTCTTTCGTCTGTTGCCGAGATGAGAACTGTATTTTCCGATGATATGTAACTGAAATGTCTTGAGGTATGGCATTCCATCATCGCAGAAAAGTAGAGAAAGATAATTTCCGAAACCGAAAAGCCAGACCAAGCTGCCATCGTATTGAACGAGTACACTGTAGAAATTGGTCACTGACCCGATCACAACGAAGCAACTACAAAAACAAAAACAAAATCGACATCGTCCAAAAAGGGCAAAGAATGCATATATGGCGGTGCGCGCGTGCAGGACCACAACTACAAAATTTTAAAAATGTGCAATGTCGAGGTGACATCGACAACCGCCGATTTTCATGAATCAACACACCGGAATTTGAGAAATTGAACATACTTCAGGCCAGGTTGTACACAAATACGCTTCACGTCTACGATCATGTTGCCGCCAAGTCGTGGCACCCCCCTCCGGAGGTCGCGGTTACGATTTGAAACGTGGCCGCGACGTTTTCGTCAAGTTCATGCCGTTGCCATGCAACTTGGCCGCATGGCCGCATAGACGCTGGTTTTGGTCGCAGTGTGAGCGCGCCCTAAGTAGGGGTGAAAGTTGGCATTGAGATCCCGAGTTCGAGTACTCTGATTTTCTCAGATCGAATATTCGAGTATTCTTCATCTCCTAAAATTGCACACCGAGGGCCTTAAAATCACATGATACACCCCTGATTGAACCGAATGGCAGTCATTTTTCTCTGGTATATTGGTTGCTGGGTCATTTGGGCTCTCTCTACTCTTGAACAAATGTTCACCACACAGTCTGCACATCAATATCTGCGGATTGCTGCTCTGAAACTGCAGATTTCTGTGGTAAATGCATGTACCACGTATGAACGAGTACTCTGATTTATTCCGAGTACGATTATTTCTGAAAAAAACGAGCGAGTACTCGAGTATTCGGTATAATTGTTTCACCCCTACTCTCTAGTGACTCATTTGCTTCATACGAGACCAGTCAATGAGTTGGTGTGGCTTAGAATTTTTCGCTGTAGAAGAAATCTATTCGTATGTCTATTGGAGAAATAATTGTATTCACTGGTTATAAAATAGGTTTAGACAAACTCACAGAATAAATACCATCGGTCCCTTGGTGTTCGTCCTAAAGAGATTCGACTGGATATCATTCCTACTCACCAAAAGATGTGTAAGATTTTATTATTATGGAGTGCCTTGTTTATCTCTCAATACCTCCAACCATAGCCTTGCCCCTTTTATCCTCGGGATCAGTGTAGTTGTTGGAACGAGGTGTGGACTCAGCAATGTATTTGTTTACATTTTAATACATGTTTATTGTTCCTCCTTTGCTGTGTTGTTTTAGAAAATCGTGGACTAACAGTTTGAAGTCATTGAACTACTTCCAAAAGTTGTATCGACATCAACAGGGTTACGATTTCAGTGCAATATGATGCAGGATGACCTTATCACGATAACCCATGATTATAAACCATTATACACACAGAATCAACAAAACCATCTGCGACACGCACCTGGTTACATTTCTCAAATAAATCTGATCGAGGGTGGGGAAATCTGAAATATCTGAAAGGCAAGACAATTTTATGACAGAGTCATGAAATTCTGCTTCAGCAACATGCACAGCATGACTTCCGTATAAAAAAGTATCACCACGGTCCACCACTACTCACATGTTTCCCCGCAGAAGAACATACTAGTGCCATTTTCTGCAAGAAAAGGCTTGCACATCAATGCGTATAGTACGGTATTGATATGATGTGAAGGCCATCATTTACATACATGTATTGATATAGGGCATTCCATTGATTGGTGACAGAAAAAACAAAAGAAATTATAGCTATAAAAACTGCGTTATGGCAGTTTTCTAAAAAAAAGTTATTGTGTTCTAGTCCATGGACGGACCCCGTCTAAAAAGTAAGAAATTAACGAAATGTGATAGCTGAAAATTAAAATTTCACACAAAACCTCACAATAATCACACACAGAATGAAAAGCTACATTATTATTATTATTATTATTCAAATTTTTGATAGGGCAATCCCCACAGGCCTAAGGTAGATAATCAAGCGAGGTACAGAGGGCTTGATGGCTGATCAAAGCCCAAGGGCTGGGCCCGAGGGCTTTGATCAGTCATCAAGCCCGACTGTACCTCGCTTGAATATGCTTCAGACGATCCCCAACATTTTTTTTGATTTTGAATCAAACTCGCTTCATTCTTTGGGTGATCTCGAGAGTGGACAATGTCGGCCTTTCGTTTGGGATTTCAGAGCAGCCTGAAGTCTAAAGTGCATGTCGTTTTCGTCCCGTTCGTAAGTTTCACACAGAGATTACAGCAAAGGGAAAGTAATGTAAAACGTGTTTCGTGAGAAATTTCTCAGGACTCCGTGTCAAGAGCCAGACGTGGCTGAAGAGTCACGGAAGTATTTTCACTTCCACCACACACGCCTTGCTCACGCTGCATACTGCTGAGAGTTCTGCGGTGCTGGAGCTAGATTTCCAACTCCACAAGTTGAGAGCCACCGGATCCCCGACCACCACCCCTATCGGTTTCTTGTTCTTATAGCCAGATCACCTTGAAAAGACTGAGATTGGGCATGATCAGGGCTTTGATGGTTTTGTCGTACAGTTGCCAATGGCAGCGGGCTTTGATGGTTTTCTCGTACAGGTTGTCAATGACAGCGGGCTTTGATGGAATATCAAAGCCCGCTCTCCGAGGCTGCTGATTGGTCGTAACCTAGCAAAGGGCACGTGGGTCGTTTGAAGCCTTCTTACAGGAAGAAGACCTTTTCCCCTCGTGATCCTCTTTCCTATGCATGCATGTTGCCAATTGTTGGTGCAGTACAAGTTTAGTGTTGAAAGCAGCATTTCAAGTGTTGTGATTATTGTGAGGTTTTGTGTGAAATTTTAATTTCTTACTTTTTAGACGGGGTCCGTCCATGCATGACTAGAACACAATAACTTTTTTTTAGAAAACTGCCATAAAGCAGTTTTTATTGCTATAATAATGATTTGCGTCCACTGATATGGCAGGCCAGTGTGATACATGTCCATGGCTAGCACCAAGAGTACATAACTCTTGCTAGCACCAGTCATGAGCAGAGCACCAGTCACTCTGCTGCAGGTGACGGTATGCAGCAATCTTGAAGCTCTGCAGGTGTGGATCGATCCAACTTTTCATACCGTAGACGGGGACGGAAGCGTACAAAACGGGTGCAATTCGAGTGTGAACAGGAGACGGCGTCGTGCGCCGACTACCGTACTCCCGATTCGTACGTGGAAATTTTTAGCATTTCGAACACTGCGCTTCCCATGATAACTCACAGAATGGCTAGCACGACTTGAGTTAGGAACATAAGATCTCATGTAACTTATTGTACTTAGGGATAGTTCAGAAGCGTGACAGACGAACTATTCTATCATTTCCTGGGGCTATTATTTGAAAGCCACAACTTTCAGGGCCAATTTTTGGTCTTCATGAAAAACTGGTATTGTGAACTTGATTCCGCTTCTTTCAAGGAGAAATAATTGAAAAGAAGTCCGGAAAAACGAGAAATTAGGTCCGAAAGTCACCCCGTCACGGACCATGCCTTATGACTCGCGCCGTTCGACGTTGAGTAATAAAACTATAGGAGGCTAGAGAAGGCTCTTTTCCAGAGATTCACCAGAAAATATTTTCAAATTTCATCTCCACCTTGCCTATAAACTCAAAAATGCAGTCAAAATGTGATCAAAATGACCCCTAAAAAGTTGTACCGCCCCAGCCCCACTGCTGCTTGTCGTGTCGTACGAATCGTACAGGATTTTACAGCTCACCCCAGCCCTAGGCCCTCCCGACAAGCCCTTAGGCCTTACGTCCCGTACCGTCGGCGTTGCGTCGAATGTGAACTTTAAAGGCCGAGACCTAAAGTCGAGGGAGTCTCCGTATCCTTGTTGTAGCTGTTCTTTCTTCATACCTACAAAAGCAGTTTGTAGATAGTTTTGCTGTCAACAGTCTCACGAGGTTTTGGAAATTTCGGCATAATTTGTCGCAGGCCTACGTTGCTCTGCTCAGGGCTGTTCCCGAAGGCCAAGGTCTACAGGCTCCTGACGAAGTGCCCTCGCTGTCGACCTCTGAATCCATTCCATTCCGTCATGGCGGGTACTGGAAAGGTAAGTGATCACGCGGCTTGCAAACTACATCATAGTGTGCTGGTTGGTGGGTTGGTTGGTTGTGTTTATTTGAATTCGCAAACCGAACGGACTGAACATTTCCAATGACAAGGAAGCGAATGAAGTCCAAGTAACCCAGGAATGGGGACACAGATGAAAAGGAAATATGGGAACAGAAGGCTCACAGCAGGCTCACAGCAAAGGAAGAAGAGAAGGAAAGGAAAAGAATAGAAAGAGAAGAAAGCTTTTTAGCAAAAAGAGAAAGGAAAGAAAAAAGGAGAAAATAGGGAAGGCTTGTTCCTGTTGTTGTTATGTCTACTGGGTCCTGCCGCTACTCCGGCTTTGGCCGTGACCACCATGTGTCTCCCCATTCTCTCCTTTATTCTTTCCTTTATCTTTTTCTTCTCGCCGTGACCACGATTTTTCTTCTTTTTCTTCTTTTTCTCCTTTATTCTTTTCCTTTCTGCCGGCTGGCTCCTACAAAACCTGCGAAAAACTACGGAGCCTGAAAAAAGCTAACTGCCCTGTAGCTATATTTATGTGATCTACAGGTTTCTGTGCACTTGAATATGTTCTGTTTCATCTGGCGATGTTTGCATGATGCATGTAACACCCTATTTCAGTCCTTTTTTGCTGTCGTGCCCTCAACTCGCACTCGAGGAGGCCAAAGCAATTTGCTTGTGGTCCCACCTGCTAGCACGCCTTGTTCTGCTAAGCGCCTAATGCACGCTGGAGCCATTATGTGGAATAGATTGCCGCCAGCAGCAAAATGTTCAAACACCGTATTTCCTCGATTAATGGACCATGCTCTAATAATAGACCATGCTCAAATAGTAGACCCTCCTAGAGGCCTCACGGAAAAATAATAGACCATGCCCGAATAAGAGACCCGGTCTCTTATTTGAGTTCATCGCTTTGCGCATGCGCACTAAGAAAGCACGTGGTGGATCAAAAAGGACGCGATTTTAGGTTGCGCAACTACAATTGTTTTTGTAGTGGCTAGTGCTTTCTTTCATTATTTGAGCACGGTCCACTATATTTTCATCGGCACATTGCTGGAAATGGTGGATTTTTAACACGTCATTTCCAGCGATGTGCCGATGAAAACATAGTGGACCGTGCTCAAATAATGGACCATGCCCAAATAAGAGACCGGGGGTCCAACCCTCTTCAAAAAACAAAAGACCGGGTCTATTAATCGAGGAAATACGGTAGGTATTTGGATTTTCAAATCTCAAGCCTTGCAGTATATATTATCAGCGACATAGGACAGTCCTATGTCGCTGATAATATATCTCCCCTTGTCTCTGGCTCCGGCCATGGAATGTCTGGCGGTCGAGTAACGGGTTTCTTCGTTTCTCAGTAAAGTTTCCAGCTTCTGGACGGCAACCCGCTCATCATCGCTGTCGGCGAGGGGAACTACACCCGCCTGCCATAACTTAGCCGCACCCAACCATCATTCAGAGCTGTACAGAGAACTTCCTGCTGCGTAACTGTACCTGCATTTCTGCATAGCCCAGTCAACGACATGTTGTCGGACCACTTGACTTTCCACTCGAGGAAACCGGCCAGGTATATCGAGTCAGGACTAGGCAGGTGGGGTATTTCCACTCTCCGGGCCCACAGCCCTGCCTCTGGCTGTCTTGAGATGGATGATGGCGGGCTGCTGCGCGCGCCTACGGCAGGCTGGCTTGACTGCGCCATCGTGAGCCTTAGCAGAATATGCTGCTGCTAGCTGAGGGATTGGACAATAGATTCCAGCAGGCTTCCTTCTTCTTGAGCCCCTGCCTGCATCCGCTCTGTCAACCCATCGTTGGTGCCTGCTGCTTCATCAGCCTTAGACTTGACAGAAATTCGTGACTTTCACTGCGCCATTTTTCGTCCTGCTCGAGGCAGACAAACTCTTCGAAAGATGAGAATGAATCATCAGTGAAATGTAATGGCTTTAAAGGGAAGCTGGCTGCAAAGGCGGCTTGGAATGTGACATGTGAATGTGCTAACGTTATGTGCAAGGCGCGAGAGGTCCAGAAGCGCAGCGGGCTACAGTGCATGGAAACAGGTGCAAACAATAGCAGCCTATGTGCCAAGACCCATGCAGGGAAAGGTGCTATGATATCACCACACATATAAAAAACATGATTGGCTGTTTTCTCGAGTATCCTGCGAGCATCCTTGAGTATCCTGCGAGCATCCGCTTCTGGCCATTTTCAGAGCACAATCGGCTTACCTCTACCCATGGCGTGGATAATGTTCTTGCGCCTTCCTCTTTCGGTCTCATCCGGACTGGTGCGGGGAAATGGTGCACCACCACGTTATGAACCCTCCGGTTTCATTCCACCCAGAGTAGCTATGTCATAGAGCACTGCGTTATATTACTACTGTAAAACCCATATATAGAACGAAGTGCTAACTCTAACGAGTTAACGAGGAGAAATCTGTCGTTAGAATAGAAATCGTTATACCGAAATCGATACATATATTGTCCTGTTGAGCGGTGAGAATGAGTGAGAATCGTTACCGATGGTACACGTAAACTAGTCAATTTTGGGAAATCGTTATATATTCGCCTCGTTAGAATAATGGCTTGTACAGTACCACACCGCATCATTCTATTTCCTATTTCCTATTTTTATTTTTCTCCTCAGCTTCTTCTTCATAAGCTGTTGACGGAGACTCCCTTGATTTAGGCTAAGGCCTGTGGAGAATCCATAAATACAAATACAAAATACCACACAATTTGTGGCCATTTGTAATTGTTTGTCATGACTCATATTACAGGTGTGGCATATTTTCATGACTGACTGAAATAAATTTGCAACAACTGTGCACATGACGGAGTAAAATAACTGCAACATGGCAATAACATAGCACCTCTGTTATAGGGCTATAGAAAACCTTGCCTACACAGACCAAGTCGCTAGGAAATGTTGACATTTTAGTTCTTAGGGGTATATGTAATAAGTAATTGCAGTACAAATCCGCGCTTGATTTATCCCTGTCAGACTTATGAACACACATCTGCTGGTGAGCTGGAACACTTATACTGGCCTTTTTTGTTATTTTCTGCCTAGATGGCATCATCCCTTCCGCTTGGACTGCTCCTACTCGTACAACTCCTTACCATATGGACTGTGCATGGACAAGCAAGTAAGCCCAGTAAATTTATGTAACTTACAACTTCTACCAGGATGAAAATCAAATGCGCAATTTGCCATCTCATTTCTTGTCATCTGATGTTCTGAGAGGCTGAGTTTCTCTCAGCCAACGTGACCAGGTTTGGCAGTGTGTGTGAGTGAGTGTGTGTGTGTGTGTGTGTGTGTGTTTGTATGTGTGTGTGTGTGTGTGTAATTTTTGTGGGTGGGTGTGCATGTGTGTGCGCATGTGTTTGTATGTTTGATTGCATGTGTGTGTATGTTCGTGTGTATGTGTGTATGTATGTGTGTATGTTTCTTTATAATTATGTTTGTGGGTGTGAATGTTTCTTTTTGTGTTTGTGTATGTTTGTGCTTATGTGTGTATCTGAATATATGTGTATGTGTGTGTGTGTGTGTGTGTGTGTGTGTGTGTGTGTGTGTGTGTGTGTGTGTGTGTGTGTGTGTGTGTGTGTGTATGTGTGTGTGTGTGTGTGTATGTGTGTGTGTGTGTGTGTGTGTGTGTGTGTGTGTGTGTGTGTTTGTATGTGTGTGGTGTGTGTGTGTGTGTGTGTGTGTGTGTGTGTGTATGTGTGTGTGTGTGTGTGTGTGTGTGTGAATGTGTGTGTGTGTGTGTGTGTGTGTGTGTGTGTGTGTGTGTGTGTGTGTGTGTGTGTGAATGTGTGTGTGTGTGTGTGTGTGTGTGTGTGTGTGTGTGTGTGTGTGTGTGTGTGTGTGTGTGTGTGTGTGTGTGTGTGTGTGTGTGTGTGTGTGTGTGTGTGTGTGTGTGTGTGTGTGTGTGTGTGTGTGTGTGTGTGTGTGTGTGTGTGTGTGTGTGTGTGTGTGTGTGTGTGTGAATGTGTGTGTGTGTGTGTGAATGTGTGTGAATGTGTGTGTGTGTATTTGTGTGTGCATGTGCATGTGGCTATGAGTGTATTTGTTCTGGTGAATGTGTGTGTGTATTTTGTGCTTCCCGGAATAGCATGCCCTTCTGGACGAAGCTGTGTCTGTAAGTTGCTCATGATATTAGTCAATGTTGGCATTTCAAACCTAAGGCACAAGGCTAGTTCGCCGCAAATCTGATGTCAAAGTTTCCCAATCATTGGGCAACTTTATGAAACTTTATAAAGCTTTTGAGTCGTGACCATGCCAGTATTTGCGCAAGGTGTGAGTTAAGAATCACCCTGTATCTTCCTGTAGTTGCTCTGTTCTCTATCTCATGATCGATAACCGTTGTACAATTTCTTCCAGCCTCGAAAACTTTCCTTCCTGTGAAAGTACCGATGCTTGTGGCTTTCAGTAAACGCTGTTCCCAGTGTAAATTTAGCCTGGTGCAGGGCCTAATTGAAATTGCGCGAATCCCCCCTTTCTATTCTTACGTTACTTCATAACTTAGAAGGCTGGAAGGAGTTTGGTTTTGTTCTTTCCAGACGTGATGCATCTAAGCATCAGATTGTTGAATGTCAGTGTCAAATCATGAAGATAGTTGCTCCAACGAGGAGCACACGCTTCTTGCCGAACTTGACACTCCTCCTCCCCGTTGGAGCAACCATCTTCATGACTATTACCGCCGAAGTCGCAACTTCTAAGTTAGTATCAAATCAGTCAGTTTTGTGCAAATTGTTGCACATTTTGACTCAACAGTATCCTATAACTGTTAGTGTTGGACGAAAAGGATAATTTACGGTCCCCTCTTTTTTAATGCACTAATACATATTGGGTTCAGTAGAGCGTCCAGCCCCTATAATGATGTCCATCCGCTATATAGAGTCCATTGGTCCAAAATCCACTATACATAGTCCCAACTTGGAATCAACTGTAAGTTCAAAGTTTAGATCCACATGACTCCCTGTATAGAGTCCTGCCAATTGACTCCCCCCCCCCCCCATATAGAGTTTATTTTTCCAAAAATCCACTATACACAGTCCAAGCTTGGAATCAACTATAAAGAGTCTTTCTGTGGACAACACTCTGTGTATAAAGTCCAGCCAACTGGACATCCCCTATACAGAGTTCAAAATTACTCACAGGATCAGCTGTAAGCAGTGAATAATAACCAGAAAATTGCCACTCCCTTTAAAATCCTTTATTATCATTCATTTCTCAAGGTAAAAAAAAAAGGTATTGAGACTCCACTGCAGCCACTTCACTACATGAAAAACCCTTCAAACACCATCCTCAAATCAAGTGGTCTCTTCGCTGCAAATTACAATATCTCAATCATATAGTGTTGAGCTAGGGGTGAAACAAGTATCTATTTTGACCAATCGATCACTCATTCATAATATTCGACCAAGTATCCGATTATTTCGAGTATGTTATCAAAACTCAAAAGCGCTAGATTTATGAGTTCTCGACAAATTCGGAAGAAATTATTCGTGAACATAGAACAAAAATCGGCAACATCTTGTACAGAGTGTAAAGTAACGATTTTCATCAGTACTTTCATATCTCATAACAAACTAACGCTACTTGCCGTGGCGATCACATCGTCCAAGTCATAAAATACTGACTCAAAGGCATGCATAATGCATGAATACCAGTGGACGAGCGGTACAACAAAAAGCTTTTGAAAAATAGAAGGCCAATACTAAAAACAACATCTGAGTGCAACATTTCAAATACTCTCTCGTTTGAAATTTTCGGACGATTACTCGAACATTCGAACTAATCGTTTCACCCCTACAGTCCATTCAGAAAAAATGAACTTCTAGCTTTTGGCCATAAATGGGTCAAACGTTGAGTTTTTTTAGAATTTTTTTCTGCAATCCCATATGGAATCCTCTTCCAATTATGTTTCTGAAGTTTTTTTGTCCAAAAAGCAAGCCATAGCAAGAATAGGATTTCGGCCAGGTTTTGCCCCAAAAGCACTGAATTGGGAAAAAGTTCTAGGGCTGAAACAATTATACCGAATACTCGAGTACTCGCTCGGTTTTTTCAAAAATAATCGTACTCGGAATAAATCAGAGTACTCGTTCACACATGGTACATTCATTTACCACAGATATCTGCGGTTTCAGAGCAGCAGTCGGCAGATATTGATGTGCAGACTGTGTGGTGAGCATTTGTTCACGAGTAGAGAGAGCCCAAATGACCCACCAACCAATATACCCGAGAAAAATGACTGCTACTTGCTTCGATCAGGGTTGCATCATGTGATTTTAAGGCCCTTGGTGTGCAATTTTTAGGTGATGAAGAATACTCGAATACTCGAATATTCGATCGGAGAAAATCAGAGTACTCGAACTCGGGATCTCAGTGCCAACTTTCACCCCTAGGAAAAACCATCAAAATCCAGGCCGTTTGACCCCGCCTGCAACAGTGCATTCTGCGGTTCGAACCCCATTTCAGGCACCCTTTTTGGACCCTTTTTCAAATTTCAAAGTTCGCAGCACTGCACTGTGTACGATGAAATCACGAAAAATCGCCAAATACGGGAGCTCGCCAGAGCCAGGACCCATCTTTTTATGAATGGACTGTAAGTGTCTGCAAGTTATTGTGCACGCACACAAACATGCACAAACCCACACATCGCCAACAAAATACTAAGAAAAACGAAGAACCGAAAGACAACAGGCTGTGATGGAGAGCCAAGGGGTATTGTTTTCTAATAAATATTGTCCTCGAGCGCACGTACACACACACGCACACACTCACACAAGCTTATACAACGCCAAGTAAACACTAAGAAAATAGTAGAGACACAATACACACGCAACTCCAACTGGCATGCAAACGTTCATCCGTTTACACGTGAAGTCAAGAAGGATAACAAATAATTATACGTAACGAATGCATATGTTGACGGATGCATGCACGTTTACATACATGTAGTAGTGTAAGAGAGTAACATAGTGCAGTAGTCAGCATAATACTAGCACATGCGGAGAGTGCAATGGCAAGCTTCACCGTTGCTCATGGCCACGCAAATGTTCAGCAGTACTCAGTTCTGCAAACTTCTGAAGATTAACACACCTGCAACAAATAGACAGCATAATGATACTCGTATGAATGATGCATGGGAGCACACAACTACCAAGTTCTCAACGAATGTGATGCTCAATGAAGATCCATCCACGCAAAGACCTGTGAACAGGTGACGGTACCGCGGGTGGGGACAATAGGGACCTTTCGCACCACGACTTGCGAAACCTGAATCTGTTTTCAACGAAACGATTGAGAGCCGAATCAAACTTTTGTTTCGCTTTAGATTCGTAGCAAATGCGAAAGGTCCCAAATAAACTATTAGTAATAGGAGGAATAAGATTGTTTGTGCACACTCAAGACGCACAGATACACTAACATACATGTAGTGTACACCACAGTCTTTCACTTCACTAAAACTAAATTGAAATCAAGGAGTTAATTAAAACAATCGGTACAGCGTTACCGCAGTCAAATGGTCTTCCCCAAGATGGAAATGCAATGATTTATAGTCCCGAGGCAATTTTATGGACACATTGTCAGGTTTGTGACATCAAAATGGTTACTTCATGGAATACGAGTATTAGCTTGAAGCTTTTTCTTGTCATTGGGATACAAGCAATCCTCCTACTACTACTAGTACACTGACGCTGAGTTTGCGGATACCATTATTTTGACATTATACTAGAGGAAGAGTATCGCGGAGTTCACATTATCACAGGGAAAACACATTTCTCATGAAATAAAATTGATGATTGATGCAAAGTCCTTGCAGTCCTTGAGGACTGCCACGCAACTATTATGAAGCCGTTGATTACTTTTAGGGCATTCGTTCAAGCCATATCAAACAAACGCGATGCGCTCCTTGGAAAGGAAAAAAAATTCAAGCATAACGACAGAACAGCAGAAGAATCGAAACGAGTAACACCTTTCTTACCTCAATCATCGTCCCGCCGTGTAGGTTGCAGTTGGACAGCCTTTGGACACGGTGGTACAGGCAGCTCTTGTTCAGTCACACAGGGTATCCGTGTGGCGTTGAACGAAAGAGAGTGTCCAGGGGCGTACGCCGCTCGCCTCCAGGAGTGGTTCCCATGCCAACTGATGCACCAACATTCCACACAATTGAAGTGCTGTTTTTCGTATCCCACGGAGTTTCTGCATATTCTCCTCAGACTGAGTGAAATTAACATCCACAAGCTGCTGGACGATGATGTCATTGCTACGCATTATTTTATGATTTTAAAGGACAGACGTTTTCCCCGTTTTATGGATGTTTTGTTCAACATGACGATTGCATGCGGTCATGAAAGCTGCCTAAGTTTCAAATCACCTGAAGCAAACATCACACAGGGCAAACGGAAGCCATCATTGCATGCCTGTCAAAAGACTACCCAGGGTAACTCCTCTAACAAGGGTAGTTGAAAGTGGCGCTGTTTGCCATCCGTCTGGACACGCACAGGAAACGAAATCCTTCGCCTTCGGTGGTGCACAATGATTGTCGATGACGGAAATCTTTTCTGTGTCCAGCAAATTTCGGGGGACTGGATTCCGCTGTGGACGTCGACTTTCAGAATATCCCGTCCAACACACTCACTCCCATGTCATTGAAGTTAGTTCTGGATGATCCAGCAGCTTCCAACAACGGTCGCTCTACAGCTTCGATGACGATTTCTTCCTCAACTCTGCTCGTTGGATGCAGACTTCGCTTGCAAGTCAGGTGCGTCTGCATTCTCATCTATCGCTTGACCTTCGCCACTAGCACTGGCTACACGCTTTGCCTGCAGCTCAAAATAGCTCTGAATAGAGCGCTGGCCCTCTGGATGTCGACGCTTCATTTTTTCTTTTCCACAAAGCGAAAGCATTGTCAAAACATGACCAACTAATTACTTTGTCAAAACAAACTCCAAAGGAAAATTTGACTCTCAGATCGAGGAATCCAGCGATGTAACTACAGTAAAGACTTTGTTGAAATCAGTTCAGTACGCTGTGTCCCAGCACTACTTTCACACCTGGGCTAGTCACCGTCCTCGATCGGACCGTCAGGCGGATGCCAGGCATGCACTTGCACTGTGAGCGCTGGGCCTGGATCAACAAATTCTCTGCACCCACATGGATTTTTTTTACTGGTTCCCGGGTATCCCGGGAACCACCCTATGTACGCCCCTGGTGTCAGTGTATCTGACTCGTCAGATTGGAACTGTGCTGAACTTCTTCTTATTCTTCGCTTTCCGCTGTCATCCCGCGCACTGCTGAATCGTCTTACTGTCAGCAACTGCACAGCAGAACTGGAAACCATGGCCAGTCAAACAGGGGATCCTTGTGGCATCGAACGAAAGAATGTCAATGCACCTGACTCGTCAGATTTGAACTGTGCCGAACTATTCTCGTCCTCCAATGTCTGCTTTCATCCCGCGCACTGATGAAACGTCTTCAGAGAACCAGAAGAGGCATTCCAGATCTGATTTTGAACGTCTCCTTTTCCTCCTTGGTTACCTCGAGACAGATTACTGGCAGCCATGGCTGAATAGAAGAAAGGAATGCGTTGCCACGAGGCAAACTGAAAAGGTGTTTCTTCTCTTTCCGGCACTACACACAGGATATCCGGATGGCGCGACTGGATAACCTGAACTCTTGGACTGTGAGTAGGGGACTTGTAGAAAAAGTGCACTCCCTATAGGGGATTGAGCGGCTGGACGAAGCTGATAAAACTGAGCGGACTTCTGGACTCTGAATAGTGGATTTTGGCCCAATGGACTCTATTATAGGATGCTAGACATAATATTGGTCATGGACTTTGTACTGGGCGGTTTCGATTACACGTTAACATAATTCTGGAACTGTTTTTTTTTAATTCTGGAATGACCAGAATGAGCGGATTCCACCCTTGTAAACGAACGACTGGAATTCACAACGAATTTTTTTCATGTCATGTCACCAACAAAATTGATGAATCGTAAAAATAGATAACGTACACCCTCGCGCGCACGTGGACCCAGCATCGCACACACGGCAGCCAGGGAGGCTCTTTGCGCGCTTGAGTCATGACCAGACACACCGACTGTGCAGTTCTGGCGCCAGAATTAGAGAAATTCCGCCCTTTCTTCGGAATTGACGGATTTGACGGAATTGGATAAAATCAATTCTGTTGAGTACAACAGGAGAACAACTTAGCGAATCAAGTCTAGCGGCAGATCTTCTTCGAGTGAAAGTCGGGGGTCGAGAATCAAGAATCAAGAATCGAGAGAGAGTTGAGAGAGAGGCAACGTACTTGTAATATAAAGGGCCTGGGTAGCTATGGCAAACATGGACGCGCAAATAGCTACCCAGGCCAAATGAATAATGCATGAACTAATGAATTATATGAATTAATATATTGTAATTACTTGTGGGCCTAACATACCACCCCTCCATGAAAAAAGAATCCCGCGTCCTCGCGGAGAAAAAAAGAAAAGAGAACGGCATCTTTTTAAGGAAAATAGTTAAAAAAAAAAACAGAAGTAAAACCAATCATATTAAGGACGTTTAGCAACACGAAAGTTCGAAAGAAAATTCGAGTCTGGGAATGAGTACAGAAACAAAGGTCGAAACTTCGAAAACTTGGACGCGAAGTTGTAGTGATTTGCGAAAGTAACTTATTCTTTTCTCGGTACGCATTTCACTACAGGGAGTAGTAATTTTACAGCCCCCTGCTTGAGAATGAGCTGCATATCTCTTAATTTGCTAAATCCTATATATAGGATTTTGGTCATATTTTTCAACTCAAAATGGGTGTGGCATGAGAATAGCAAAAAGTATGTGACCAATTCTTCCTTGCTAGGTCTTAGTAGATATCGAGAGTTGAATAAGATAATTTTTTCAAACACTACCATCTCAGGCTCATCTCCTTGCCCAATATTACTAAGGCCTGTGCCCTATTTTTCGAATCCTATATATAGGATTTGAGATTTTATCGGACCTTGTTTTATCCTTAAAACTGGTAGTTTCATGACGGCATGTGCGATATGTCGTCATGAAACCACCCCGTGCCACACCTGCAATGTTCTTCTGTACATTCACTGCTTCAGTCCTTTCCATGACAGCAGCTGAACAATTATGCTCAAATTTCCAATTATTGCTGAAAATGGATATTCATCAGAAATATTATCGCCCTATGAATCTAAAATGTAAACATTCATGCCTCAAACATATTAACAACTTCCATGAAAACCATTATGTCGTTATTATTTGTCGTGATGACCAATAACAACGGCATAAAAGGCACACATTTTCAAATCCTATATATAGGATTTTCGGTCAGCAAATTAAGAGATACGGTACGGTACTATAAGATTCAAATAGCTTCGAGAAAAAGTCGTTTCGCATTGCTAAACCTCACAAGTTCTCTTTTTCGAAATAGATTTTCGCGAAATATCGCCACCACCAAAAGTTCAAATTTTCGCATTGCTAAACGTCCCTATTAATGTAATGTAATGTAACCCAATCATAAATGTGATGTAATGTAACCCAATCATAAAATGTAATCGACATTTAAGACATGCATATAATGTTGTAAATCTTGAAGCGAGGTAATCTAAGAAGAACGACAAGGACAACGGCGAGGAAACGACAGGCACCACGGAAGACAACAACTTCCGAAGCGCCTGCCCGCACAAGCAACACCAAAGAGAAAAGGACAACGACAAAGAAACGACAGGCACCCCGGAAGACAACAATTTCCGAAGCGCCTGCCGGCTCACGCACCACGTTTACACATATACTCAACACAACAAGGATGGCAGTACACAAGAACAGGCGAAAACCAGGCAAAACCTCTCTATTTTTCTCTTCGTCTTATTATTTTCCCCGCGGTCGCGGTTCTTTTTTTGCTCAGGGGGAGGTTTGTTAGGTGCCTCCTCCCGTACAATCTTACCTACAACCTTTCCTAAGCTGGCCGGCCTGCATGCCCCCGTACTACGTCATACTGACCTTTCGTTCCGTTGGCCTGGGTAGCTACTTGCGCGCCCATGTTTGCCACAGCTTTTATATTGCGTTGTTTCTCAGTTGGTAGAGCATGAGACTCTTAATCTCAGGGTCGTGGGTTCGAGCTCCATGTTGGACGCCAATGTTGAGTACAACAGGAGAACAACGTAGCGAATCAAGTCTAGCGACAGATCTTCTTCGAGTGAAAGTCGGAAGTCGAGAATCGAGAATCAAGAATTGAAAATCAAGAATCGAGAGAGAGTTGAGAGAGAGGCAACGCAATATAAAGGGCCTGGGTAGCTATGGCAAACATGGACGCGCAAGTAGCTACCCAGGCCAAATGAATAATGCATGAACTAATGAATTATATGAAATAATGTATTGTAATTACTTTTGGGGCTAAAAATTCTAACGAGGGAATTTGTCACTTTTTGTGTAATCGAACTGTGAACAATAACTAATTCTAGAATTGACCGAAATGGGTGTAGTCGAAAGCGCCCACGGAGTCCTACATAATTATTATAATATTTTAGAATGAGGACGGAGAGAGAAAAGCATTAATGTACTGCCTCATCTACGTAAGCTTCTACGCAAGTACGCACGGCAAGCCAAGTTGGACTTGTCGAACTATTGAACGTTTTCGTGTCCTTCTTCTCAAAATACGACAGGGTATGATGGAAATTCTCTGAGACACTAGAAAGATTTAAAAAAAACTCCAAGATGTAGCACTAGAAAGGAAATGTGAAAGAAACACCTTTATCGTGCAGTATCAGTAGAATGGTGTGGAGTGCGGATGGATGGTCAAGACTGCGTGTGATGGGGGGGGGGGGGGGCAGCGACGTCGGATATCGCCGGTACAACCAGTAGGTGCAAGATCTTTCTGTGCTCACATTATAATGTTTCTCATAGCATCCAATGCGTGTAAAATTCTGAACCTGCAGACCACTATAAATGTCCACATAATAAAGGAACTTTCACCGCCATAACGAACATGGCAGTGAACTTTTCAGCAGCCCAAGATACTTGTAGAGAACGATACATGATGTTGCCTAGCATTTACCATTATAAATGCTACCGAGAGTTTGTCCGTACACAACTTGACAACCAACCAGCCTGGGTGCACCGTGTCACCGGAGACAAGGCCCTAGCAACAGATGGCGCACAATACCATCGGAATCATAAATTTTCAGTCACGCTATGTGTCCCGGGTAAGTGATCAATTTCTGCTTACGCTCATACCCTAAATTATGAGATGCATATTTTCAAAGACTAAATCATGTAACGTCTCAATGAAAGAGAGTGCGTCATGTTTATGGTTGCAGTGTGTTTCGTACATGAAAATGCCAAGCATATGACGGCGTGCAACCGCAATCAACAGGACAAGCCGAATCGACATGGGAACTTTAATTGAACAAAATTCCAAAGGTGGAAACTAGTTTTCATCGACCACCACCCTATAGCTGAGCTCTCCAACCGATCTTAACATGCTGCCATAGCACACCATGCACAAAGCCACACATCTGTCGGTTCTGAATTTCGGCACACTCCTGTTTCCAGTCTAAAACTACAGTGATTGAATTTGTAATTTGTATTGTTCAAGGATTCCCCAAAGGCTTTCGCCTGTCGAGGGAGTTTCCAAGCTTTCCATAATACCAAATCTGTGAAAGAAGTGATAAGCAATAGGTGAGCAAAGAAAGAGAAAAAAGACATAGTCTAGGGCAGAGCTCTGCGCTTGAACATATGAGTATAAGCGTGCAGAACTGGGATAATATTAATGATGAAAAGTGTGCCAGAGATAAGCTTCTAAAGAATACGATGTGACGCAACATATTCAAAGGAATTCCGCTTGAGTGAAACCAATGCTCGTAGAACTGTTTGTGCAGTTCTTGCTTTTAAGACTGTGTTTACACGACAACGCTCAGTCGCCGGGGGCGAAAACGCAACGAAATCCTTTCGGATCCAGGGTTCATTTACACGGTATGCGGAGCAAAACGTAAAAGTTGTACACCAAAACGGAATAAAACCAAAACGCTGGCTAAGGTGGAAGAATTTGAAAACGGAACTGTTCTGCCGGATAAATTTGGGTGTGTAAACGGTCGAAACGGTGCGCTGGCCTCGTTTTCAGTCAGGTTTGTTTCGTTTTCTGTCGTTTACATGAATCCGACAATCCCAAAAAAATATTTGTTACAATTTTCGTCATGTGACGTGTGTTGTCGTGTGCCTGTTTTCAACCATTACTTGAGTGTGATTGGTGCTTCCACGGCAACACTTGGCACATGACGAACTTTGGCGGATCATTTGCTCTCGTGTAGACGCTTGAAAACGGAGACAAACGGATACCACCTCGGATCGGCTTTGGTCGTGTAAACGTACGAAAATGAAAAAAAGAAATGCGGGACTGAAAACGGAAAACTGGCCGCGCGTTGTCGTGTAAACGCAGCCTAAATTTGCTTAATAGAGCATGTCTGAGAAAACCAGAACATATGTGCAATACGATCTCTCAGATTTCGCGTCAGATTTCGCTCAAATTTTGCAGGTAGGTTTGCTTTGGGGTGTAGATCGACATTCCAAAGCCCGAGCAAAATCTTTTGAAGGGAACCATGAAATTGGCATACCCCTTAATATTGGCCCAATATTGGTAGGATTTATGGGTCTACAAACGAGCCACGGCACAGCGTACAAGAACAAGCTACGAACAAAACTCTATCAAGCCAACATTACCTCACCTTAGAAGAGTTCTTGGGGCAGCAACACTTAGCCACGCCAGCATCCCAGAAGACGAGGGCAATCATCCCTTGACGCCACAAATTTTCGTCTTGAAAATAGCCAAATTACAAGCGCCGATAAAACAGCGAGCTACGTCCTCAATTAGCAAACACTATACACCGGCAGATAGTAGAACACCTCTTCTAGCACTGAAGACATGTCCTCCATCATCCTTTTTGGGTTTTCTTGAAATAAACAATTTTGAATTTTTCCACTCCACCATTATGAAATACGTCCAAACTCATACCTGCACAGGAAAGCTCCCCCCCCCCCCCCCCCCGCTACGTCTAGTCAGCAATTTCTACTCCAGCACCACTCCCAAGGCTGCAGAACAAAGTGTATTGGTGACTCTGACAAGGAAAAGCCACCAACATCTTTCGGTGCAACAGTAAAATCCAAAAACTACAAGCAAAAATTCAGTCACTTTTGCATCAACTGTTGCACCGAAAAATGTTGGTGGCGCAAGGAGAAGCTTGTCGTTTGGAGTGACAAGTGATCACCGCTGCTTTTCCTTGTCAGAGTCAACAATACACTTTGTTCTGCAACGCTGGGAGTGGTGTTGGAGTAGTATGTTTCAGAATGGTCAAGTTTTTGTGCGGGCTTTGGAATGTCGATCTACACCCTAAAGCAAACCTACCTGCAAAATTTGAGCGAAATCTGCACATATGTTCTGGTTTTCTCAGACATGCTCTCTTAAACTGGTCAAGGACATGGTTGCACAGCTTTTTGTGTTCTTGTCTCCCCAACCCAGTCTAAGTAAGCTCATTATTCTGATTAGCCTTTCTTACCTATACGGCGAAGCGATCGTCATGTGGAACTGTTGCTTGTTACTCCCGCTTATTTTTTCCATTAATCCATCCGTAGTACCAAGGCGTTCGGTTCTTCACAATTCATGTTCGCTTAGCTTCCCCTCCATCGATTTTCGAATCCTTTAATAGAGCCAAACAAGTTGTGTGGCTTGTTGCTATCGGTCCTTGAATAGTGGTAACGTGATTACGTTATGTGGAACCTCTCTATTGCCAGTCTGGCCATTTCTACAGCCCTCTTAAGAGTTGTGTATATCACTGTTGAGGCATCCGATGGTTAAAAAAAATACTACTACTACTATTACTACAGGATTCACCAGGCTAAACCATCTCCTGGGATGCCAATTTACATAATACAAACCTCAGTTTCCAGCTCTATAACCCACTTGTGAACAACGGATAGCAGCGTGACCCAGTGCTGCTCATAGATCAGGAGAAATGGCATTGATAGCTGTTGGCAATCCGCTGCTTCATCCCCTGAAAACCACCGAGCCACTGACTGAAGCTGTAGTCTTGTGTAGTCTGGAGTTCAGTACACGGCTTGTAGGATATTTATCCCATGTATCCTTGGGATTCTTCCATTTTTCCATGTCGTATTGTTTGAATAAACCCGTTTTGGCTTAATCTAGAGAGAAAAAAAATACTGTAAAGTACACGTCTCACGAGAGCGTCCCAACTTGATTTTACAGCCAGGGAAGGGAAATTCATATGGCAGAGTGCAACGATGTTTGTACGACGTGAGAACCTTAGTATGCTAAGGTCACTATTTGTGTGGGGCTCGTGTCTGCTTGAAGGTAAATTGAGTACGGATTGACTGCAGAACGGGTACCATGTTCGTGTCGTATGACCTACTGGCAGGAGACCACCTCCACAATACGACCACGAAAGGACGAGGCGGTGGGGCGCTCTGGCGGTACTTTACGGTATATGAACTTTGCACGAGTAGAAAATTATGATGAAGAAAGGAAAAGGGCGATATGTTACGTATGTTATGTTACATTGGCTCTCCATCCGAGTTCAGTAGAAAATTGTTGGCTTTAAAATTGGTTGTCATAGCAGCAACATATCTGTGATCATATCATATTCCTGCAGCCATAATTCAATGTGATATACCCTTTCAAAAGGTCAATCTATATGCCTTTAAGACCCCTGGAGAGACCTTCAAGGATGCCCTGGCAACGTGTGCAAAACATAAAATGATAATGCCCGGAAATCTTGGTACTAAATGCTACGGGGAGTTTACGGAGACCGCACTTGACAACGAACCAGCCTGGTTGAATGTTCTGACAGGAGGCCTGGCATTGGCAACAAATGGTGTACAATACAATCGAATTAACATAAAGCTTAAGGTCACTTTTTGTGTCCCAGGTGAGTGCACAGGTCACTGTTCATATGTTTGTCCCCATCCATTAGAAAGGTCAATGTGTCCTTGAATAATGAAGATACCGCTTTGTAGAGGTGTTGTTATTGGTCAGAAACAAAAACCCAGATACATGAGAATGTATGTAACCAAAAACGGTGATAAAGTTTAGAAAATAAATACAAGTCTGTTGTCTTGCACCCACCCATTTTGTTTGTTTTCCTTTACAAGATCACGTGGTCTTCAAGCAGGTTCTATTTTCGCAGAGAGTCTATAATGTAGAAGGGCATTTTGTTGATAGGTTGTTAAGCTTCTCGGAAAAGTCGAAGAAACGGTACTCTAATGGTCATCACGTGGCTTTGACAGCA